AACTCATCAACCCGCTATTCGAAGAGAGTCATTAGCTAGATCTAAAAACAACTGAATAAGAACACCGTGTGATGAACATATGGGTTACTGAAGGATTTGCTCAAGGCGTTAGCGAAGACGCTGGGGAGGGAAACAAACAGGATGACGAAGACTAGACTTAGGCATGAGTGAAGATTTGGACCCGTGGGGACTCGTAGGAATCGGCCTGTTTCAACGGGCCGAGTTAGGTCCGGATCCTATTTTGAAAAATCCAAAACCCGCCCCGCCCTGTCCCTTTTTATTTAAAAATGGTCTGATCCCTTCAATTTTGGGCCCGGCCCGGCCCGTGCCCACCCCTAATAAAGACGCTGATTTCCTATGAGTATCATTGCCCTTACAGCCTAATACCAATTCAGCATAATTGCTGAACCTGGTGCATAAGATCCTGAACTTTGCTGTGAATTAAGTAACTTTGTTTTTAGGTTCTAGAACCCTAGCCTGAGAGGCATTACTTCCTTGGTCGTAGTTAAGTGCAGAAATCACCAGCGTGTTTGACACCACCATGTCATCTACTCTACTCGTCCGACCAACCTTGGTTGTTAGTTGGCACACTCGCATTCACAAGAAGGAGTTAGTTAGTTCAATAATTATTTGGTCTGCACGACACGTAGGTTTTGTAATTGTTAGAATGACCACATACAAAAATAAATGATAATTTAAAAAAACGATCCTTTTGGACATTTCCATATGTTGATGCACAAAATCAGTGAGGACTTTGGTACAACAGAAAATGTCAAGTTTGTGACCTTCGCTAGATTGATCCGGTAACTAGTGTGGATAAGTATGTAAATGGATAGAGATAGGGAAGCAAACACAAGATGTACGTGGTTTGCCCAGATTGGCTACGTCTACAGAGTAGAGGAGTTCTCATCAATTGTGAAGGGTTTACACAAGTACATAGGTTCAAGCTCTCATTTTGTGAGTACTAGTGAATGATTTAGTACAAATGACATTAAGGATTATTGTGGGAGAATGATCTCATTTTATAGAAGAGAGTTTCTAATTTTGTTCTGACATTGACACGTGTCGTGCTGTGATTGACCTCTGATGTTGACACGTGTCGCGCTATGATTGGCCTCTGATGTCGACATATGTCGCACTGTGATTGGCCTCCTGGTTGGAGGGAAACTCTTGTGGATCCTTGATGGTATAACGTTGACCGGTGCTCAATAATTTCGAGATTGATCAAGTATGGTACAAACACCATATTCTTAAGAAAAATAGATGGACTATACATGAATTGGCCATAGACTATTGGAAGACTTGACTTTTTATTTCTTTTTCTGCGTGTGTGAATTCATGATCACATGCGTGTGTGAATTCGTGATCCCGTGTGTGTGTGACTTTGATTAGTATTTCCCAAGTTTTTTAAATCGACCCTCAATATTGACTTACCACAGTAATGACAGTATTGCATTAACGACTCAGTCAAGCCACAAGTTCACAATGGAAAAAAAAGTTTACAATTAAACTGCACAATCATTTATATTTTCTTTAGATAGAGATGATAATTGATAGCTATTACAAACTGCCATACAATAAAAGTTTGAGTCGCTAAATTTGTTACCAAATAATTTTTCAAAGGTTAACATTTGAATACTTATCATTCAATACTACGGTCTAGTGATATTCCTCTTCATTCAAAAATGAGAAATCTTAAGTTCGAATCGTGAATAATGAATTCGATATCGATGTACTAAAAAAAAAAAAAAATTTGGACATGTATTTATCCTCTTCTGTTTTGCATTGACCAATGTTTAATTACGGTAAGAACATTTAGGACTTTAAAACTAACTAGCTAATAGGTTGTTTAGTATTAATCTGCAAATTATGGTATCGTAATTATGAATTTATTGATCACTTACATTAGTTGTGAGTTTGTGCAACACACTTAATTTTGACTTGCTACTCAATTTGGCATTGTTCTTTTGATTTTGATTTGCTACTGAATTTGGCATTGTTCTTTTGCTTATTATTTAATTAAATCTAATTAAATATTAAACCCTAATTAAATGCTAGTTATATAAACTCTAATTAGATTGCAAATATTTGACTTGAAACTCAATTTTAACTTTTTATAAATTTATGTAAAATATTAACTTTTTGATGTGAAACATTATTCACATCCTCACAATAACATCATTTCTAGACATGAGTACAACACGAGAATTTGTCATTTAGTACTACGGTCTAGTCGTATTCCTTTTTATTTGTAAGTGAGAGGTCTTATGTTCAATTCTCACTAAAGTCAAATTTGAACCACATTATTGCTAGCCTATTATGAGGCTAAGCCCACCATTATCTCATTTAGTGTAGATAATATCTGTTCGAGCGAAGATTTCTCCGGAGAGGGCTCATCGGCTCTTAGCAAAGCTCCTTAAGGGATTGGCACTTTGGATGTGTAGTCGGGCTCTTGTTTGCTGATGTGCTACAAGAAGAGGATAAAGTTAGTTTTGAAATGTGCCTTTATAGGGCCTTAGGTGTAGGCCTTGAGGCTCGTAATCAAAACTAACTGAATGATAGGCGTGCCACTGCTATCTCAATATAGCAGACGTAGAACAAGTGTGTTTTAGTTGATTACTTGCACCTCAAGTTACTCGGACTTCTTGTTATCAAAGAATTGTCGTGGATAGGTTAAGTCCACATTAAGTTCTTTTTCTTGCCTTGTGACCAAGGACTTTCAGTTCATAGTCTTATATGTTCAAGTGAGGGAAGTTCAGATCCCCTTAAGTCATCTACTCGATCTTGATTGGTTTTTAATGAAGGCATATTCATTTAGGTAACCAGATCCGGGCACAAATAAGACTCTTAAAGTAGGAAAACAAATGGATATGACTTGAATACATGCTGGAGAATACATTAAGCAGTAGATCTATTAACTTATAAAACAAACAAAGAGCTTTGAGCAAGATTTCACCTTGTCGGGTAAGGTTGAACTTCTTGCAATCATTTCTCTTTTGAGTTTACAGGGTTTATATGCTAAGAAGGGATGGATGGTAAACAAGTTTACACGAGAGAATCGATACTACGCCACTAGGGATGATAGCATAGCTTCTAAACTAGACAAAAGATGGCTTTTGTGGGGAATGATCCTGAAAAGGATTGAGATCTGGGCTAATTAGAGCTTTTAAATGCAAATCTGGCTTGAGAGCGGAGTTTGTATGTTTTTTTGTTTGATTGGTTGAGTGTCCTTGTCTCTTGGGTCTCTTCCTCCTTTTATGGGCATATTAACCTGACTGCTATAGCTTTGCTCTTGCCCGAAAGTAATTGAAGGGTAATGAGTCATCAGCTTTTTACTTGTATTGCCATTAAAAAGTGTTTTTTGGCTAATTATGGGTTAGTCCCCATCACTTGACACATAAATCATAAGCACATGGTCTATGCATTAATAAGAAGGTGCCAATTTGTCTATGGGCTTGATGCTGGGCTTCGGGTAAGTCTTCATTCAATTGGTGTTTTTGGGCTTCCACACACCTACAACCCAAAGTTCAAATATTAACCCAAACAATGCCCCCTTCAATCATTGTTAAGGCTGCAATCCTAGGTGCTAATAATGATTAAAATAGTCGTTGCACATTAAACAACCGTCGCATGCCTTCACTCAGAACTTGTGCCATTGTAAAGCAATCGTTGGTTCATCTAAAACCTTTTGCACTTCCTCACGACCGCCACTGTTAATTAATCACTTCTTTATATAATCCTCACTTAATCTCTTTAGCAAAGCACTTTTAACCAAATCAAGCCCTTCGAATTTCCAAAACTCCTCAGAATTTCCTAAAGTTCAATTTTTTTTAGAAATCTCTCTTGTTCTTCAACTCTTCCTTCTTGGCCCCGAATTTCTTCTCATCTTCTCCTTGAGATTTATCCAATGGCACCTACAGTTGCCTGGATTCAATCTCCCTACGAGACTGATGAGGGGATTTCCACCATGCATCGTCTTCTTAACGGCCCTCATTGCCCTCGGGCAGGCCTGCATACTGGGTTCTTCCTCAAGGAAAAAGAAGTGCACTCCTTAGGATCTGCATGGACTTCTCAGTCATTGGCTTCTTCATCATCCTTAGAAAGATGCACTGCATCCAACTTCAGTTTCAGGACTTCTATGGCATTGTGGGGGTAGCCGAGTAGCTTTAATTGCATTGTAGATCTTACATGTAGATACAAAGCTAACCTTCCTCATATTAATATCCAAAAGCCCAGACTTCCCCATAGCTTCTGCTTCCTTGATCCATTCATCATCATAGGTGTATGCTTCTGGATCAACTACCATGACAACGTCTAACACTTTGGTAGGACTTGTGGCTGCAGGCTCCTTACTGATTCGAACGTCGGGCTTATACATGAAAGTGGTAGTGGCCGCCAGTAACCACTTAGCATGATCTTCCGTCAATCAGCTTTATCAGAAGCTTGAAGAGGTCAAGATAGTAAATTTTGAAATTTAAATATGCTAAAGCATAGTTAGCTAATAGTAACATTCTAGGATAGCTGCCCTAATCAAGGATGTAGAACTATTGAATTGACTTCTGATGTAACTTCAACATTTTAATGAGATGAAAATGATTTCTTTAATCCATTTTGGCTTGCGTTTCTCTTGAACTCAACTATGATGGGTAAATAAGCCGACTTTAAACCTCTTGCAACGTTTACACTTCTTCAAAGTAGCAATCCCTAACATCCCATAAGGTTAGGTGATACTTCTTTAAAAACTTAGCATTAATTGGATGCCTTTGCAAACTTCCTTCCAAATCTGCCAAATATTATCCCCCTTTGTCTAGTACTTGGTTGATGATGAAAGGGTATTCCCAAGTCGGACTCCACTTCCCAAAGCCTCTAACTTGAGCCCCCAAAGGCAGTATGGCCTTCCATACTAACTCTCATTTCCCGAAGTTCTTCAACCTCACCTTCTTATTGTATGCTCGGGCAATAGATTTCTTCCCCTCTTGAATTCTATCTACAGCTTCGATTCAGACAACATTCAAATCTTTAACACTTTGACACATAGCCTGAATATATTCTTCACTATGCAACCCAAATTGATTTTGAATCCTAACATAACTCACATTTATCTCCATGGGGAGCACAACATCTTGCTCGAAGGTTAAGGCATAAGGAGTAGTTCCAGTTCCTGCCCTCTTGGAGGTTCTGTAAGCCCATAAAGTGTCTCCTAACTTCTCATGCCACTTTTCTAGACTATCTGCCACCATCCCTTTAATAATGTTCACAAAGGCTTTGTTGCTGGCTTCTGCTTGGCCATTTAATTGTAGGTAGTAAGGACTAGATTGGATCATCGTAATCTTAAACTTACCTACAAATTCTTCTACTTCCTTTGAAATAAAAGATGGCCCGTGGTTTGTAACAATTGTCTCGGGCACCCCATATCCGTGTAAGATCTTGGTTTCAATGAATTTCTTGACCGAAGTTGAGGTTATGGTCTTCACTGCTGAAGCTTCTACCCATTTGGTGAAGTAGTCTGTTGCCACAATTATGAACGTGTGCCCTTTACTAGAAGCTGGATGAATTTGCCCGATGAAGTCCATTGCCTATCCTCTAAAATGCCAAAGTTTGACCACGGGGTTTAAGGGTACTGAGGGTACATGTTGGAGGGGCATTTGTCTTTGGTATTCTTCACACCCTCAGGCATAAGCTTTGCAATCTTTCTCCATATCGAGCCAGAAATAACCAGATCTCCTAAGTAGCCACCTTATCTTGGTTCCCGCCTGATGTGCTCCACAGATCCCTTCATGTACTTCGACCATTACCCTCATTAATTCTTCTTGGCCTAAGCACTTCAGCATTAGTCCATATGAAGTTTTTCTTAGTAGATTTTCCTCCCACAAAACGTACTTAGTTGCTTGTTGTCTACTCATCTTACTTATGGGGAATGATGGATCTTTTAAATACTAAAGAATAAGTGTCCTCCAATCTTCAACCTTCATTTCCTTAGTCATCACATCTAGGCTGAATCCCCTTTCAAAGATAGAAGGGAGATTTGTTTTTTGAACCTCTATATCCCTTTCATACTTTCTTTCTTGGATCTGCGCTCCAGAAGCCAATTGTGCAATCTCATTGGCAATTGCATTTGATCCTCTGGGGATATGGTTGACTGATATCTCAGTGGCCCAATAGCTTAATAGTTGTGTAGATGCCAAATAGTAACCTGTCATGGCGATGTGTTTGCACTTGTACTATTCATGTAGTTGATTGATCACCAACTCTGAATCACCAATACTTCAACTTTAGTTGCCCCCAACTCTATCAAGATCTCCAGGCCAATTATTAGTGCCTCGTACTCTGCCTGATTGTTGGTAGTCTCTTGATAGTTTATGAGGAATGAATAATAATGGTGAGCACCCTTGGGATCAACGATAACAATCCCAGCTTCCACGATAGTTTGAGTGCAAGAACCATCAAAATACAGTTTCCAGGGAGTAATCCAGAGACTAACTATTCTTTTCATCTCTTGATGGATCCACTTTTCTTTGCCCGAGAAGGCTTTGCTCAATAGGATCCACACATTGGCTACCTCCAGAGTTCCCAGGTTATTGATAATCTTATCTTGGGATTCTTGGTGCTCAGCCAAAAAGTCTGCAATTGCTTGCCTCTTGATCACTCTCTGAGGCACATACTGAAAGTTGAACTCCAAAAGCGCTAGAATCCACTTTCCAATTCTCTCGATTAGCATTGGTTTTGACAGCATATATTTAATTACGTCAGTCTTGGCAATAATTTGGATATGGCAAGGTAACATATAATGCCTTAGTTTGCATGTCGTGAAGTATAGAGCCAGACACAACCTCTCTACTGGTGTATATCTTGTCTCTACTTCAGTAAGGATTCTACTGAGGTAGTAGATTTCTTGTTCTTTCCCACCTTCATTGTTCTGAGCCAACAAGCTTCTTATTGATCTCTCAGAAGCAGAAATATAAAGCTTTAAAGGCTTCCCTCTCTGAGGTAGCATGAGCACTGGTAAAGAGGCCAAGTAAGCCTTTATGCTTTCGAAAGCCTCCTGATGTGATGGCCCATACTCAAATTCTTCTTTGTCCTTCAATTTTAGCAAAGGAGTTAGCTGCTGAATCTTGCCCACCAAGTTAGCAATGTATCTCCTTAAAAAGTTGATCTTTCCTAGTAGCCTCTGTAATTGTACTTTATTGGTGGGAATAGGTGATTCCATGATTGCCCGAGCTTTGTTCTTGTCAACCTCTACACCCCTTTAATGGACAAGGAATCCCAAGAAGTTGCCCGACCTTACTCCAAAAGCACATTTCTTTGGATTCATTTTTAGCTTATGGATCCTCATTCTTGTTAAGGCTTGTTTAAGGTCTGCCAAGTGCTACTCTTCAGTCTTAGACTTTACCACGATGTCATCAATGTAGACTTCCATGCTATGGCCAATCAAGTCATGAAAAATGTTGTTCATAGCTATTTGATAGGTTGCTCTAGCATTTTTTAGCCCGAATTACATTACCAAGTATTCATATGCTCCAACATGACCTGGGCATCTAAAAGTTATTTTATGTATATCTTCTTTAGCCATTTTTATCTGGTTATAACCGGCATTCCCATTCATGAAAGATAAAACTTTGTGTTTGGCAACTGCATCTATTGATAAGTCAACCACGGGCATTGGATACTCATTTTTAGGCGTGGCTCCATTAATGTTTCTATAGTCAACACAACATTTGACCTTCTTAGTTATAGCTTTTAATACAGGTACAATGTTTGCCAACCACTTGACATACTTGGCAGGCCTAATAAATCCAGCCTTTACCAGCCTTTTGATCTATTCCTTGACTTTTTCCCCAATTTCCTTTAACATCCTTCGTGGTGCTCGCTTGACAGGTTTATACCCCTCCTTAATAGGCATTCTGTATTCTACTAAGGTTGAATCTAAACCTGGCATTTCAGTGTAATGCCAAGCAAAACAGTCTTTGAACTTATGCAGAAGGCTAACTACTTTTGCCCAATCACCAGTTCCTAATAAGTCACTGATCTGGATAGGCCTTGGATCTTCTTTAGTTCCCAAATTGATGGTTTCCAAGGGGTCTTGTACTTCTGGTGATGGCTTGTCAGGTTCTGCGTACAAGAATTCAACTTACTCTGGATTCTCAAACAAGTCTTCTGGCCCGTCCAGGTCATATATACATTCAGCCATTTGTGTGGCCGCTTCCAATTCTTTTCCAACAAACTCCTTTCCACCCTGGCTGCTTGAGGCTTCCTCCTGCTACTTTTCGGCCAAGCTCTCCCTTTCTTACTTCCTCTATCTTCTATACACCAACAGTCTTTTGATTAAGGACCTGACTGCAACTACCTGGTCTTTTCTTCTTTGTTCTGACATTACTGGTGTTGGGGAGTTGGGACAATATGGGGTCGGTCTCATTCTTTCCTTGTAAGGAACAACCCTTGTTCCAAAAGCTTTTGGGCCGTCACCTTAGTCGAGTGGCCATTCTCATCAGCTTCTAAACACTAGAGAATCCCAATGCTAGGATTATAAAAATTGGCTTCTGCCACATTGGCAATGGGAATGAATGGTCGTGACTAGGCCTCTACCATTTCCCAAAATCCAGGTCATATTCATTCCTTGTGATAAATTTCCACTTGTTGATGTAGGGTGGATGGCACCGAGAGACTTTGATGAATCCAATATCAGCTCAGTAAAGCTCCATATGTGGAAATATTATCCACAACGAAGAAAGCTAACATAATCTGCTTGGAACCCAAGTCAACCTCCAAGGGCAATATCCCATGGGTTTTAGTGATGGCTTCAGAGAAACTGGAAACTGTTAAATCCGTGGGGATAAGGTTCTCCTCATTTCTACATACCCGCTTCATCTCCTTGAAGGGCAAGACATTGACTGCGGCTTCTCCATCAATCAAAACCCTCTTGAAGGGCACTCCCTCCAGATGAGCAGTTACATAAATGGGCTTCAGATGGTTGGCTAGGGTCAAACTCGGACGACTGAAGACCATCATGTCTGTGTTCACTCTCTCGGGCTCTCTCTTTATGGGCTCAGGCACATCTACTCTGCCCGACTCCTCTTTTCCTGCCTTTTTAACACTAACATATGCCATCATCGTTTTCGTTGCTAAGTAGTCATCCTCCATTGTGGCAGGTTGATCATATTCAACATAAAACTTGGCGGATAAAACATATGTCATGTTTACGTGGAAGTTGCTAGGTCAAAATAAGTTCTCATTTTTGCCCCCAATGTGGTTCATGAACTCGTAACCAGGCCTGCGCTTTTTCTGGCAGCATTAGCTCGGGCACCTTTTATTCCCGGGTTATGCCAAAGTTTGGGATTTGTTCTGGAACCTCGCAGTGAGTATCAACCAACAATGGTGCGGGCAACCCTTTCTTAGGTAAGATAGTTCTAAAGCATATTGGTTCTGGGCTCCACTTTGGGGTTGGCATCATTACCATATCCTCTTGAGCTCTCCTTAAGATTATGTATTTCCCAGAATGGGGGTTCTGCGGCACATGGTCTCCTTCCCCTTCAGTCTTGCTATTAGCCTTCTCCACCTCATTCTTTGTTCTCTAATGAAGTTGATTTCTTCCCTTATTGGGTACGTTCTCAAACTTTACATTCTCTGAGGTTTCTAAGGTAGTGGGACTTTCAATGAGTTAATGTGAGCTTTATGTTGCCTCTGGACTCTCCTAATCATGGAGGCTCCCATTTCTTTAATAGGTATCTCATCATTTCCTACCACATACCATTTCCGCCCGAGTCGGGCAGGATTCTTCTTCGTGACTGGATTCACGGTTCTACCCTTAACTCTGACATCTCCACTAGCATAGCTTGGTTGGGGTGGCCTCACATCCACCCATCTTGGCACATTGGCCTCTTTGTCTTCCATCTTTTCAGAAGCTTCGTAATTTTTGAATACTTCTGACAAACCCTTTGGTTGGGAATCTCCTCTCAACCTTTGGAAAACATTCCTAGAGGTATCTCCTTCAACTGCTTGCATAACATTTATGCAGGATTCTTGCTCTTCTTTCTCTGTTCTCTTGATCAACTTCTGATCAATAATGGCTCCTGGTGCTGGGACTTCCAGCTCACACTCACATTAGCATCTACTGCACAATACCACTCCCTTGATTATGGTCGCCTTAGGTTTCTCGGGCAACTTGATGGCTCCATTAGTTGGCTTATCAACTTGCCTTTGTTCTGCTTTCACCTCCCAGGTAACTTTTCCTTTGCCCTTCTTAGCCCATGTCAGGTTGATCATGTTTATTAGGACTTCTGGGAAAGGGTCAGTGTCAATCATCATGTTGGTCTGCGGTTTCTCCAACTACAACTTTACTTTTACTATAAGGTCTTGTATCCAATCCTTGAACTGGACACAGTTGGTTATGGAGTGATTGAAAGTGTAATGCAGCTTGCAATACTTTTTCCCTCTCAGTTCTTTAGGCTTGGGCAGATTTTTGGCGCTGTCGGGCACGATGACTCTTGCCTGAACCAGCTCCTCATAAATTTCTGCGGCCTTGGTTAAATCAAAAGAATAACTCTGGTACTTGAGGGGTTTCATGGGGAAAAATCCA